AGCATATAGGGTTCAATTATGGGGTTCAGAGTTACCACGATACTGTTTTAGAAGCATTTTGGGTTCATTTCAAGAGCTCAAAGTTAACAAAGTACTATTTTGAAGCATATAAGGTTCAATTATGGGGTTCAGAGTTACCACGATACTGTTTTAGAAGCATTTTGGGTTCATTTCAAGGGTTCAAAGTTAACAAAAGTACTATTTGAAGCATATAGGGTTCAATTATGGGGTTCAGAGTTACCTGATACTGTTTTTGAAAGCATCTTGGGTTCATTTCAGAGTTCCAAAGTTAACAAAGTATATTTTGAAGCATATAGGGTTCAATTATGGGGTTCAGAGTTACCCACGATACTATTTTAGAAGCATCTTGGGTTCATTTCAAAAAAGGGTTCTAAGTGAATTAAACTACATTTTAGGAGTATGTGTGTGTGTGTGTGTGTGTGTGTGTGTGTGTGTGTGTGTGTGTGTGTGTGTGTGTGTGTGTACTGGAGTCGTTTATAAGTTGTGTATGAGTCGAACAAAAAATAATGTCTAGTTTCGGTATATTTCAAGAGGTTCAGAATTGGCAGGTAGTGAAGGTACCGTCAGCCAGAGGACAGGTGTTGGTTGACCTTTAATCAACAGGTAACGATTTATCTAATGTTTTGGCTTGTGTGTCTATTAGAGAGAGACATATCGAAGACGTTTTTACCCAAGACCCTCACGGAAGAGACAGAGAGACTAATAGACAGAGAGAAAGAGATTAAGAAAAAAAAACAGAGATAAAGAACGAAAGAGACAATGAAAACAAGAGAAAATAACTAAACAGAAGAGACAAAGACCAAAATACGGATAAAAATGAAGACAGAAAGCAGAGATTGACAGACACGAAAGAATAAGACCACCTTATTGGTTGAGCTGGGTGGCGCCTGAGACGTCTTTAATTAAGTCGACCAATAAAACGCAGTCTCCAGGTACCTCAATGACGTCATAGGACTTAAACCAAAACACGTACAAATTATTCCAAAGTTTTTCGTCAATTTTATTTTTATTTATTTGTTTAATGGACTATGAGGAGAGGCATGTCCGTTATATCGAGGGTCTGTTAAATGTGAAACCCCCATCTAACATAACACATTAAAGAGATAGGAGTCCGTTATATGGAGGTTTCACCACCTCTGTTATGATGGTTTATGGTCCGTGTGTCCTGCTCTCTCTTTCTCTCTCTCTCTCTCTCTCTCTCTCTCTCCCCCTGACATATCAAAAGGGTACAATTCTCTCATCAACTCAGTCATTCCTCTCTCATACACACACGACCCTCTCTCATACACACACGACCTTCTCTCATACACACACGACCCTCTCATATACACAAACGACCCTTTCACATACACACACGACCTTCTCTCATACACACACGACCCTCTCACATACACACACGACCCTCTCACATACACATACGACCCTCTCACATACACATACGACCCTCTCACATACACATACGACCCTCTCACATACACATACGACCCTCTCTCATACACACACGACCCTTCCCCTTACTAACTTGAGTAGCTTCTTTAACATCTAAAACGAGAGCCTTTTATACGAAGCCCCTAACAGCTCGGCTAAAATTGATCCCCAACACACCTGCAGTTCTGAAGATGGTTTCTACACCTGTAACTTATTAACACACCTGAAGATGGTTACTTAATACACCTGCAACTTGTTAATTAACCATAAAGTGTAAATGAACCTTGTATCCTAACATTGATTTGAATACCTGTAGATAGTTCAGACACCTGTAACTTGTTAATTAGTCACAAGGTGTAAAGTTGATGGTGTTCGTGTGGTCCTGGAAAATAACCGACGGGAAGTGATGACAAAATACTCGTATGTTACGTTGTTGCGGAGTCTCTGTCTCTCTGTGTCTTCGTCTGTCTGTTTCTGTCTCTCTTATCTCTATCTTTATCTTATATCTCTCTTTTTCCCTCTGTCTAGTAGTTCATGTCTCTGTCTTTCTTTTTTTTTCTCTCCCTTTGTCTTATTCCATTGTCATTCTGTCTCTTCTCCATTTCTGCTTCATTCTCTGTCTCTTTTTCTTCCTCTCCCCATCTCTGTTCCTTCTCTTCCTCAATATTAATTTCTTGAAGATGGAAAAGGAAAACCAATCCCATCTTCTCTTCATTTCTACCCCCATCTCTCCCCATCTCCTCCCTTCCCACCCATCCCTTTCTCCTTCTTTTCCTTTGACCCTATTCCTTCTATCTCACTTCTTGTCCCTCAAGTTAGTACAGACGGAACAGGTAGACACATTCTATCCTCCCTCTCCCCATCCCTATCTCTCTCCCTTTCTCCCGCACTCTCCTTCCCTCTCTTTCTCCCATCCTTACCCACTCTCCTTCCCATAATCCCCCACTCTCCTTCCCTCTCTTTTTTCGTACCGCCCTTCCTTCTCCCACTTCCCTTTCTCCCTCCTTCCCTCATCCATTCCTTCTGGACCTCTTTCATCCACAACACTTACCTCTTGGCCTTCACGTTGGTGGAGAGGGAACAGGTGGTTTCGTTGTCAGAGATGGTGGAACAGGCGGAGGGAGGGCGGCTCATATCACCTCTGATTGGGTGGTCGTTGTGGTCGGCATCCTTCAAGATCTTCTCTTCCTCGTCTCCACTGCCGCCCCTCGACCTCTGCCGCCCAAGACGTACTAAGGACCTCACCGCTTTCATCCCTGCGAATCCTCGACTGTAGGAGAATAAAAAGAAATAAGAATCAGAATAGGAATTTAAAAGAGAAATGGACTTATAATAATGAAAATCCTTGATATGATATTATAATTAGAAATGGAATTAGAGAGATAATAGGAATGAGAATCAGAATTATATAGGTAATTTAAAAGATGATTATAATTAGACTTAATCTGAAAAAGGAATTAAAAGATAAGAAAGGGATTAAGAGGAATTAAGAGCGAGAGAAAAAAAAAGAGCGGAATTAAAAAAGAAACACGAAAGAAAAGGAAATTTAGTGAAAAAAAATATTCTGAAATGTAAGAACGAAGAGCAAAACAAAAAATCGAAGATAAATCAGACAAATATTGAAAGGGAATTAGAAAGGACAATGGAATAACAAGAAAATATGACGATAAATCAGGAACCAATAACTTTCACTGCTTCTCTGTCCGTATCCCAGGTGAAAGAGAAACAACGAAAAAGGAAATAGAGAGTTAAAGGAGAAACGAATAATAAGTCAAAAAATATTTATTTGGTTTATATTAATGAAAAAATTATGTGTTCATTAAGCACACAACGTTCACACACACACACACACACACACACACACACTGATATGTACATAGAAGCAATCATGTATATTATTATAATAAAATTGTAATAGTTAACCTAACCTAACCTAACCTATAACACCACCTGCCTAAGTTAACCTAACTTACTTAGGTCAGCAATTGCGTATATTCACCAGTTTCTATGAAGCGATAACTCCCTCTCCACTTTCTGTCTGTCTGTCTGTCTGTCTGTCTGTCTGTCTCCACTTTCTCACCTTCTCTATCTGTTTCTCTGTCCAACTGTCTCTCTCTCTCTCTCTCTCTCTGACTTTTTTACTCTCTCACAGTCTGTCTACCTGCCTGTGTCGCCCCCTGCCTTAGCTCGCCCCACTAATACACCCACAGGTCACGCGAGACACACAGTAGAACAAGGAAACAAGGACACGCGAGTCTTCAACAAACAAGAATATAAACAAACTGAAATAAACATAGCAAATTTACACGAGTTTTTCCCAAATTGGCGACTCAGGCGTTTATTCCAGCACGCGACACAATTTAATGCGGGGGGAAAAAAGCGATAGTTAATTTCTTACTGTGAGTTGTATGACGTGAGGAGTGTGTGTGTGTGTGTGTGAGAGAGAGAGAGAGAGAGAGAGAGAGAGAGAGAGAGACACACACACACCCACACACACACACACACACGCGCGCGCATGCATACAGAGGAAGAGAGACTGAGAGAGAGAGGGTTTGTAATTATGGCAACATACAGATAATTACTGAGTTAACACTGTCTTGGAGTGTGTGTGTGTGTGTGTGTGTGAGTGTGTGTGGGTGTGTGTGTGTGTGTGGTGAGACAGAGAGAGAGGGAGGGGGAGAGATAAGGGAGATGAAAAAGTTAGTGTCTTGACAAGAGAACATTTCATCAAGTTCTATCTTCTTATCAGACATCATATTCACCTGTCAGTCCACTCCATTCTCTTTCTCTCTCCCTTTATCTACACTTCTATCTATCTATTCATCTATCTATCTGTCTGTCTGTTTGCCTGTCTAGACTCTCTATGGAGCAAAAACCCACTCAGGTGTGAGTGTATTGCATTCTGCGAGGTGACATTGAAAAGCACTACCCAACCAAGACACTGACAACTACCCAGCCAAGACATTAACAACTACCCAACCAAGACACTGACAACTACCCAACCAAGAACCCTAACAACTACCCAACCAAGACACTAGACGAGGAGAAAGAGACAAAAAAAATGAGATGCGTTTAGGAAGAAGTCTTATCACACTTCAAGATGTCGAATACGAAAAAAGAAACAGAAAAGAAGACGAGACGAAATCAATTTGTAAAGTTAACAAAGTCTTCCCTGTTATTATCTATCTCGTGTCACTCCTCTCAAGATGTCATAGTAATGTTAAATATGGTGATTATAAACATTAATCACCATTATATAAGAGATGACGATCATTTTGTTGTGTTGTCATTCCTGCACTGTCATGGCAAACCTGATTGGGGGTGATAATGATACCTAGGAGGAATTATTTTTTGTTTTTTGTGTTTTTTTAGGTAAAATCAATAGAGAGAGTTTAATGGTTTGAAGTTAGTTATAGATATTGCTTTTGAAGGTGTGTGTGTGTGTGTGTGTGTGTGTGTGTGTGTGTGTGTGTGTGTGTGTGTGTGTGTGTGTGTGTGTGTGTGTTGTGTGTGTGTGTGTTTTACGGGTAGGAATGAAGCAAGAACTGAGACTTACAAGGTTTAATAATCTGACGAAAATTCTCCAATCATTTCTCAGGAACAATTTAGTTGCTTCAATGATTTACGGAAGTGGTTCAAACGGCCACATGAAGCACCCAACCTAGATACGATACACGACAACGCACCTGAACACACCTTTAGCCCGAGTCGTTAAGGCGCTTGTTCTACACCTATCATAATTAAACCCGAGTAGTAAAACAAAGCTTAAAACCAGTTCATAAAACCAGGTCAAGTATTATAAGAGCAGTTAAACAAGAGGGTTTATTATCACCTACCATCACCGTAATTATTGGCCTCACTGAACGGCGGAAGTACTGTACATGAGAGAGGGTGTGTATTCACTGTTTACATAGACGGATTGAACAATGACGAACGCCCATATGTGACGGATTGGGTAATGACGAACGATGCCCCGCTTCTCTTTATCGGCGTTGTGGGGGAGTTATTGTTCGAGGGGATGGAAGGAAGAGAGGAAGGAGGAAGGGAAGGTGGGACGAGAGAGGGAAGGAGGAGTGAGGAGGGGAAGTAGTGAGAGAGGGAAAGGATGAACATAAATGTCTTAATGTACCTCAGCTCCCCCCCGCAACACTCTCCTTTGGGGCATAATAAAACAAAGCACATTACACTTCACCCTAATTCCCTGACCTAGTTGAGCATGACGCAGTACAATACAGACCTCTCATAGTTACTAAATGTATAATCTAAATTGTACGAGGTGATAATGACAAAATTAACCAAAATAAGTGTCAAATATGTGGATATTTGTAAATTAGTCGAGCTACCTGACATGTTATTTGTAAAAGTGTAATGTAAATTGTAACTGTTAATAATGATGTAATTGGGAATAATTGCGACCATAATTAGATAAGATTCTTGTGTTGTTTTTATCTTTACTGTATTATTAATAACTTAAGAATATCTGAGATTTTCTTGACATGGGTTTGTTGGTGGCGAGGTGGTGGTAAGTGGTTGGGTGGAAAGAAAGAATTCAAAAAGAAAAATTAAAAGGCAGAAAAAAAGCAGCAGGAGGAGGAGGAAGAGGTGGAGAAGACGAAGCAGCCCACTGACAACTGACTCCAGAAGCAAATCAGACTAAATGCGCCGCCACCTCCAGCTCCTCGGGGACAACACATCACCCAAGATACAATATTGTTTCCTGACAGCACCAAGACTACACCGGGCCATTATCTTAGCTCTTCTATCTTGACGTGTTATGATAGTAAGTAAAACAGTCTCAAGGCTACACTATCATAAATGTCCTATCTTGAAACAGTAGGATACTAGATAAAACAAGTTTTCTCGACAAATATACAATAAATTTCATATTAAACGAAACTGTATTTGCATCCCTATCGTAAATACAATATCTTAATACAACACAATACATAATGCAGTAGTTTCCAGGTAATTCAGATCCCACACGCCCTCCACACGCCCACGCCCTCCCACGTCCCCCGCCAGCCCGCCCACAAGCGTTTATACAATCTTGTCGAAATTATCTTAGGGAAGAATCCATGAATTTTAAACAAGATGCGATATTACAGGTAGGCTTCAGGGGGCCCCAGGAGAGCTTCATAGCTTCAGGGGACAGCTTCAGGAGAGCTTAGGGGGGCTACAGGGGGGCTATACACTTAAGTAATAATACGTGGGTTAACTTAGGCTAGTGCACAGGTTCAGAGGTTCAGGCAGGTGGAGGAGAGAGAGAGAGAGAGAGGAGAGAGAGAGAGAGAGAGAGAGAGAGAGAGAGAGAGAGAGAGAAATAATCCATCTCAGTTTATATATATGTACAGTATATAAACATCTACCTCAGCCTTGAGCGTAATCAGGTGACTCGTTATAATGAACACCAGGAGATGTTCATTCATTTTGGTTAAGGAGGTAAGTGAAATGAATGAGTGAACAGAGGGAAGAGAAAGAAGGAGGCCTGAGGGAGAGTTGGGGAGGGAGGAGGGGATGGAGGGAGGGGGCAAGGAGGGAGGGAGGAGGTCACACCGTAATAGGAAGAGGCAGGTCAAAATTCCTCCTTCCCCAGTGTCTCTCTTGTCTCTCCTTGAGCCCATCCTATCTCTCTCTCTCTCCCTGTGTCTCTATTGTCTCTCCGTGTCTCTTGTCTCTTCAGTTCCCCTGCCCTTTGTCTCCCTGTGTCTCTTACCTCCTATGTCTCTCTATCTCCTGTGCTCTTATCTCCCTGTGTCTCTCTTATCTCCCTGTGTCTCTCTTATCTCCCTGTGTCTCTCTTATCTCCCTGTGTGTTTTTATACATGACATTTCAAATTAGGCAGAAGAAGTTGTTTCCTTAGACAGCCTTGACGAGATATGTTTAATGACACTAATCTGAATTACATTTTTTAAGACCATTTTATATTGAAAGTTCGTCTTGTAATTATGATTTATTTTGTTCGTCGAGGGTAAACAGTTAGTGTCGAAACAGTTATGTCGAGGGTTAAAGGTAAGCAATTGAGTGTCGGGTAAACAGTTTAGAGGTAAACAGTTAGTGTCGAGAGTAAAACGAGTTTAGTGTCGAAGGTCGAGGGTTGGTAATTAAGTTAGTGTTGAGGTAGGTAAACAGTTAGTGTCGAGGTAAACAGTTAGTGTCGAGGAGTAGCAGTTAGTGTCGAGGGTAAACAGTTAGTGTCGAGGATAAACCAGTTGAGTGTCGAGGTAAAACAGTTAGTGTCGAGGTAAACAGTTAGTGTCGAGGTAAA